AAGCTGTCTTGGGCTTGGAATCTTCGGCGAGCGGTATTTGCCAAAAACCGCTTTTCAAGTCGAGGGTTGAGAAGATTGTTGCTGTCCCAAGTTCTTTGATGCTATCATGGATTGGTGGCATATTCGAAACTTCGTCCACGGTGATGCTGTTGATTTTTCTGTAATCAACACAGAATCTCGGTGTACCATCCTTCTTGGTCACGATGACGACGGGGCTGTTGTAGGGGCTTTTGCTGGGTCGGATCACTCCAGCGGATAACATTTCTTGGACCTCTTGAAACATTATCCGCTTTTTCTCTTGGGAGTACTTGTATGGTCTGACGTTCACTGGTCTGTCGTCGGTCAGGTCGATCCGCATGGTCACGGCTTTCGTTGTCGGCTGGCGGATTCTATCATCGAAGACGTCGCTGTAGTCGATCGTCTTTTCAATGATGTGGAAGGCGAATTCCGGAGCTTGATCCGGTTGTAGCTTCTGCGTCGAGGTGTTGCTTGTAGTTATCTTCGGAGCTTCCCAGTATAGTGTTCGGCGGCTCTGGATTCCAGCGTGCAGACATTTGCGTGGTATGTCTACCAGGACTTCCTCTTGTTTGAGCCACGGCATGCCCAATACTATGTCGTGGTGGAGTTGCTCAACTACAATGCATTTTACCTTGGATTGGAAGCTGTTTGAAAATCGGATGTTGACTTCGGTTGTCCCTAGACTGCGGGACGTGTGGCCTTCGCACGCCAGCCGGACTGTGGATGGGCTGCCTCGTATCTTTTCACCTCGGATCAGGTCCTTACTGACGAAATTGCCGGATGCACCAGTGTCGACTAGTGCTCTGATCCTCTGGGTGTTGACTTCTGCAGAAATCTTGGGTAGATATGAGGTAGATTGATGTTCCATCGGGTTCAGCTGGGGCACTACTACGGCTGAGGTCCTTAGTTGAGTGTGCCCCGGTTGTCGTTTCCCTGGTCCTGGGCTCGGGGTCTAGGAACGGGACGACTCTGCTGACGATTGTTGTTTGGTCCTCGGTTGCGCCAATCATCGATTGTCTCGGAGATTCTAGGGGGTTGCTGACTGCGTGGGTTGTCGTTTCTGAATTGTTGGGTTGGCTCGAGGGACTGGAAGCGGCGGCGGTTAGACGGTGGTCGAGTTCTAACTCGTCTGCGGCTCTCCGAAGTTCTTCCTCGGTTCTCAGGGTTGCTATTCTCATATGCTTTCTAATTTCGAGCTTGAGTTGGTCCATAATGATGCGGCATCTCTTCTCCACCGATACTTCAGGAGCTACCCTTCGGAAAAGGGCCATCTTATTCGTGATAAAAGCTGCTGCGGATTCTTTTTTTTTGCCACTGGCCGTATAGTTTAGCAAGTAGCTTTGTGATCTGAGAAGAATGACTAAAGTGATCAATAAGACGACTAAAGAACGTACCGTGGTCAAGTTTTGGGTTGGCATGGTCTTCGGCCCACGTGGCCGCGTCGCCGGCTAGTCCTTCTTCTAAAATGTAGGCTGTCCAGTGTCTTTCGTCTAGGCCTATATTTTGTAAGTGTTCGGTGGCTGTTTCCTGGAATTCTTCTGGGCTTTCGGTTTCTCCGCCTGAGAATCTTGATAGGGTTGGTCTCCACTTTGTAGATGGTGGTGTCGGAAGAGTGGTTGCTGGTTCGGTCTTCGCTAATTGCGCTAGCGTTAGCGCTGTTACGGCTTGCATCAGGGCTGTTAAAAGCGTCGGCAGCTCTGTCGGAGTGGGTTGAGGATCTGTTGTCCCCGTAAGTTGGGCGCCATGTCGCTGAGTCGGTTCCACGGAAGGCTGTGAATCGCCCTCAGTCGCTCTGTCCGCTAAGGCAGACGATCGGAGTATGCGTTGTGATTCCGTTTATCTGAAACAATAGTCAGAAGCAAAGGGAAAAAAAACAGGAAAAGAATAAAGAAAAATTCAAGAGACTTTTATTTATTTTTTTTAGAGTTTTGCTCATCGGCGTCAGTTCGTCACTTTCTTCCCTACTGCAAGATGTGCCTCGAGATTTCTCTGGACGACGTGTGTGACCGGCAGAAATGGTTGGAAACACACTTCTTGCTTGTTCCGAGTTGCCTGCTTATAATACGTTGTACAAAGTTTGTATTTCGGAATTAAGAATAATTCGGAAACCGTGTTAGTACACGTATAAAACAGGTTAACAACTCACTGGTCAAGCTCAAGAAAGTGTGCGTTGTTGCTATGCCGCTAAGGCAGAGCAGAAATACGAACTGACGCGACTCGCCACGTGGAGGACCTCTGAGGTGCCTACAACAAATGGTAAAAAATAGGGAATGTGCAAAATAGGTGTAAATAGTATGCAAGTAGAAATAAAATAGAATGTGGTATTAAGAACTGTAGGAATAGCAAATAATATACACACAGATATATATATAGATACGCAAATAAGGTAACAATAGAAATAAGATCAGTGCTGGAAAAATAGATGCAAATGGTAATAAATGTCCTGGAGCAACAGTGTTGCGACAGAGGAAACAAGCACATAAAATATAGGTAAAATTTGTCAAGCGACAAGGTAAATTCAAGTGGATATTAATAATATACTCTAGGTTAAATATCAATAAAGCAAGTAAAGTCACAAGTGCACAGCAATAGGTAAAATTGGTACATATAAATAAGTAAGGTAAAATATCAACAGTAAAACGGATAAATAATACCCTGAAAGAAAGTGTAAAAGTAAAATACCAAACAATATTCTACAAGAATATTGGAATAATACCAAGCTGGAACGCGGAGCGCTTGAGAAGTCTAATTCTCAACTAAGGTTTCGAGTAAAAGAACTAGTGATTTAACATAAATGGGTATTCCCCAACCAGAGGTCTTAGCTAGTTCAGACTCAGAACCGAATAGGCTTTCTGGAGATTGTGCACGTTCTTTTATCCTATTTTCGTCCTTGGTGAGGTGTGCAAAATGGGCGTGACCGGCAACTCACCAATCAGAAAATAGGATAACGTCCGGAGCCAATCAGAAGGCGTAGAGGTGCGAAATGAGCAGATCCGGATGCGCACTGGTTCAGGTGACGCGTCCGTATCTGGTGACACTATCTACTACATTATTAAGAACTACTTCTTTGAAGCTGATATTATTTTTTATAAGAATAGCGACACCCGTCATACCATCTACCCTATCCTTTCGCACAATAGAATATCCATAAAATGTATAAGTTACATTTGGTGTAAACCATGTTTCTGATATTAAAGCAATATCAACATCATAATCTGATAATATTTTAACTAAGCTATGTTTATTGGATACAGCGGAACGTGCATTCCACTGACAAATTTTTAATTGGTTAAGATTAGAATGTGTCGTCATCATCAGGTATACTCTCATTACAATTAAACGCAATACTTTTAATAAAATTTACATCAATGGTTGAAAGTTCTTCAAAAGATTTTACTTCACTTAGTACTTTCTGAAAGACCGTGAAAAATACTTTAATAAATTCATCTGACATATCAGATTCAAAATTTTCTCTAGGTGGCATATTTATAGGTTTCTCGGGTCCAAAATTAAATGGGAACATTGGAGGGGGATTTGATATTTGAATGGGAGATGTGGCTTTTCGCTTTTTGTTAACTGACTCGATTTGAGTTGAAGCGTTGTGATTTCGCCCTGTTTGTACGGTAGTAGAATTAGTTGAGTGAGATGAAAAAGGTTGTCTAGGATTTTTGATATTAGGCCTTCGTGTGGGCAAAGGGGGAAATTCTTCCCCTGATGAATGGGAAAAAGCTTGAAATTTATTGTTAACTTTTAACGTTGAAGCATATGATGTTTTATTTAAATTTCTTGCTTTCGTAAAAGATAAATTCTCCTCAGTCATTTTTTTCTTTATTTCACTTTGTTTTAAATATGTTGGACAAGATTTAGAGATAGATTTATGTGAATTTGTTTTACAATAAATACAACAATTATCCTGTGGATTCCGACATGAATGAGTTTCATCTTTTGTTTTACCACAGTTTATGCAAAGAGCCACTGTGTTACGACACTGCTTCGCTACGTGACCATATTTAAGACACCGGTAACATTGTGTAACACTGTGAATATAGGGTTCAACTGGACAAGATACAGAGTTAATGAAAATGTTTGAGGGTAACATGTTACCCTCGAATGTAACTATGACTGTTTGTCGAGGGACAAATATTGTTTCTCCATCAGAAATAATCTTTCGCTTGATTCTCCGAATCTCAGTAATAGTTACCGCAGATAGAAAATTTGTAAAAAGATATTGCTCGTCAAAAGAAGTATCAACATTCTTAACAACCCCCTTCCTCGATAATAAATTATTTGGAATATAAGCAATTAAATTTTCGTTTTTTAATTGATCATTAGCCACTAGTTTATTGGCGTCTTTAATTGTTTTTAATTGAACCCTAATTCTGTTTTTGCCTACTCTATCAATTCTTACAATATTTTGAATATTTAATTTTTTGTGTAAAATATGACCGACTGCCATAGGATGTAATTTACCTATATTTTCATTATTGGTATTTTCAATAAATACGTAGACAAAATCTGAATACAGGTTTGGTTTTTGTAGATTGAAAACCTTACTTTTTTGCTGGATATCTAAAGGTGTGTCCTTATCTTTATCAGATGTGTTTTTACCATCTCGATTGTTGGTTGTCGTGGTGTTAAACGTAACCATATCTACGCTTGCTCCTCCATCATCCACTGTTCCACCCTTGTCCAGGGGTGGTTCATCGTCCATTTTTACAGTTTATCACCACACTAATTTATTTATTTATTGCACTTACAGTTGTACTCACAATAAATTATTTTATGTTTTATAAAACTAGATAATTTTATCAAAATATCAAATTTAGTTCGAATCACCTAAAATTATTAAAGCGATAATTGGATTTTAATGAGAATTCGATTAATGTTAATTAGTACTTAGCAAAGAAAATTATTTTTAAAACATCCGCACTCCACAGAGGTTAAAATAATACTGAACAAGTTTATTCAGTAACTAAATTTATTTATAAACAAAAGTAGGTACTTACAGCTGATGATGCTAATTTTTCACTGGATGGTGGCATTTCTATAAAATATAATATTTATATTTTTAGAGAATTCTTATAAATCTTAAATTTACCTTGATCGTCCAGGTTGATATAATACGTTTTCAATATTACATCAGCTCTATTCACTGTCTCCAACTCTTTTAAAATTGGTATACTATTATTACTTTCAGTATCAGGATCATATTTTGCATAAGATTTTCGAGGTCCACGGGCAGCTTGCCATTCTTTAAAATATGCCCAAGGGTCATCCTCATCCAATTCGTCAAAATTTTCATAAACATTTTCTCTCCCTATTAATATAAAATTGTCATTAATAATATTTAGAATAAAGTAACAAACTAGTATATTAACTTTACAATTAATTAGTAAATAAATATTTTAAAATTTTAAAAACCATTATATCTGGTGACAATATACAGCAGAAGTTGGATTATGGGAGGTAACATGGAAAGCACCTGTCTCAGATTACAGAAAACTCGGATATTCCAGATTTATTTTTGATATTTTTTCTATGGAAATGACAATTCCTTTCCGCTTGTTCTGCTCCATCTTAAAATGTCAAACGAAAGCTAATTCCAATTACATAAACTACCAGACAAGTTGGTTAGAAAGGACAGTGAGGTAGGCATCGGTGTAGATTCTATCTACTCCTTTGACTACTACCATAAAGCCAGGATTATTTGTGCGGGTGGAAGTGTTTTTTGGTGCTGCTGTGTGTTTAGGAGTGATGTGTATTCTAGGATCACCCACCGCATCACGGAGTCGCCGTTGGACGTCGACGTGATTGATCGGGTGAGGGGTGGTAAGGTGAGCGGTTTGTGTTGGTAGGACTTTGACAGTGGTTATTTGATTAAGTAGGATTTCTCGTGTATTGATGATTCTGAAGAAATCTCTTTGTGTGGATTTCTCCAGAGGGATATTGGTAATGGTATAGTTGAAGAATTTGGGTTGTTGAGCGGGAGCAGGGGTAGGAGTGGCAGAATGGGGTTGAGGTCTAGGGGTGTGTATTGCGGTAGCATATGTATGGTTTTGAGGTGGATTTTGCGGTGGATGGAAGATGGTTATTAATTTGTGTGGATGGTTGTATATGAGTAGTATGGGTGGTGGATGTTTGTTGCTGGAGGGTAGCTTGGGTGGTGGTCGGTGATGGAGGACCGGGACAGCTGCAAACGCGCGATCAACCGGTCGATTTGGTCAACAGGGAGGGTGGAAACCAAATCCTCGACGAAGCTGTCGGTGGCGACTTCCATCAGAGGAGTGGTATTGGTGGATTCTGGAATATGAATTGTTGGAATGTTATAGGCAGGTGGTGCAGGTTGGATGTGAGAATTGTTAGTTGAGTTAGGTATTGGAGAAACAGGATTTTGTGTTGCTCTTTGTGTTGGTAATGGAGGGTAGGTTGATAGTGGTGGTAGCGCTGCATAGTCGATTTCGGTATTAGATGTGTTTAATTGAGTTGGTATAGGAGGAGGGTCGGGAGGTTCTACAGGGCGCGTTTTGTTTGACCTGTTGGAGCGGGTCGAACGAGGCCTTATACCTCCCACTAGTTATCAATTATAAAATTATGAACTGTAGGAAATCTCCATGAGTGTCAGTTCGGTGGTCAAATGCAGAATGCCAAAGCAGAATCAGCCGGACAACCCTCAATTAATAGCTGATAGCCCCAGCAATAGCGTACGTAGGTGGCCCTATAGTATATACAGATAGATAGGCAACTCTATATATAAATTTGGTTTATTAGCACCACTGGTGAGCGGAGTCAATACTTATCACCATTTGGCGGGAAATTCAAATATTAATCCAAGTATTAATTTTATCCCTTTAGCGCCTCTGGTGGGTCATTTCGGTACTAATTAAGGTTTAGTGGGAAATTCAAAATATTTTATTATTTTCCAATCTCACATATCGTGAGTGATGTGACAATACCTATCTGGTGTTTCACAAGTTTTGTAGTGAGACGAAAAACTTTATTTAGAGTCACCTCCTGTTTTCATATATTTTTTTGACTTGTTTTGTAGTAAAGTCATAGAATTTACTACGCAAACTGAATAACTATTCTAATGAGACCTATTAGGTCGAAATACGTATCAATAGATACAAAGGCGCTGTTTGCGTGAAATCAAATATTTACTGTCTTTTTCATTTTATTCGGATCTACTCTGTACGAGTACAAGAAACACAATTCGCTAAGGATTTCCGCTTAGTTGACAAGACGTGTCGTGGAATGCAAATTTTAGATTCCCCACGTCTCTTTTAACACCTTCATCAACGTCTGTTTTGCTTTGCAATTTTAGAAAGCACAGATTAAAGCGGAAATCTGAGGTGTGTTTTGAAACTATTTTACGGTTTTATTGTCAGATGTCGCCATTGCGTCCGTATCGAAGCCATTTTAGTGTTGCTTCTTAAAAGACAGAAAATATGGATCTTTCACGTTGAGAACACCTTTGAATAACTATTCTGGTGAGACCTATTAGGTCGAAATACGTATCAATAGATACAAAGGCGCTGTTTGCGTGAAATCAAATATTTACTGTCTTTTTCATTTTATTCGGATCTACTCTGTACGAGTATAAGAAACACAATTCGCTAAGGATTTCCGCTTAGTTGACAAGACGTGTCGTGGAATGCAAATTTTAGATTCCCCACGTATCTTTTAACACCTTTATCAACGTCTGTTTTGCTTTGCAATTTTTAGAAAGCACAGATTAAAGCGGAAATCTGAATTGTGTTTCGAAACTATTTTACGGTTTTATTGTCAGATGTCGCTATTGCGTCCGTATCGAAGCCATTTTAGTGTTGCTTCTTAAAAGACAGAAAATATTGATCTTTCACGTTGAGAACACCTTTGAATAACTGTTCTGATGAGACCTATTAGGTCGAAATACGTATCAACAGATACAAAGGCGCTGTTTGCGTGAAATCAAATATTTGCTGTCTTTTTCATTAAATTAAAAGTGTCTCTAGTCAGATCTTTAACGTGTTTTGGGAGTTTTTGGCAAGCGTAAGAAGCGCACAAATGAAACGAGTGACATATACATTTCATGATATATAAACTTGGAATATCAATTTTAAGCATACTCATAACAGAATGATGTTTTCTCATCATTACATTTGCTCCATCAGAAGCAAAACCAATTATGTTTTCTGTATATGGAACCGAATTTGTTAAAAAAAATCTTTAATACAATTATATAAAGTAGTAGCGTCTGCACTGCTTAACTCTATAAGGCCGAAAAAGTTATCTTGTAATATATTATTTTTAAAATATCTTATCACTAAACATAGATGCTTTTTTGTTGACTTGTCGGTGGATTCATCTACGATGAGCGAGCATTTTCTTCTTAAACCGTCACATAAATTCTTGAAAGATTCTGTGCCTAAAACGTTTCTCACAATACCGGTTGTTTTTCTCCTGGCGCATGCCAATCCTTGAGCAATTTTGGAATCCGGACAAATTTTCGCAATTACTTTTGGTAAATGGTCCATTACCAAAAAAAAAGGAAGATTGTGCTCCGTATAATGCTGACATCGTTTCAGCTAAAATAATTATGTTATAAATAATTAGTATATTAATATTTTTTATTTTTATGCTTTAGTTAATAAAATTTAAATATTTTGTATTTAATTTACCTTCGGCAATGTCTTCCTTTAGTTGTCTCGTCCCAGATAAACTTACACTGAAGTCGGATATTTTTCTATGACTGCTTATCATTTTCACTTTATCACAGTGCAATTTGGAACTTTTATGCTTAATTAAAGAGTCTTTTCCACTAGCGATATTAATATCTTTGTCACAGCTTTTGCATCTGGCAAAATTTGTTCCTTTTTTGCTTCTGCAAATCCATCCTTTAAAGTCATCTATTTGCTTCCAGTCTTGTTTATAAGTTTGGTAATATTTTTGTTTTTTTTTGGCTGACTAGGGCCTGCCACAAGTTCTCTGTCACTACTGCTATCCATTATTTTTAAAATAATTACACAAAAAAATGTACTTCTCTTTGATCAGAGGTGAAACAAACTTCAAATTTAAAATGAAGCAAAAATTGTGAGTGACTAATATTTATACTGCCGTGATAAGGTAAAAAGCAGTAAGTGCGAAAATAATGGTTTTGAGCTATTTGCAATTTAGGATTTTTTCTTCCACACAATTTATTATTTATTTAATTTTAAGTAGAAAAACGTTAAAAGACATTAAAAAATATGTCTTAATTTTTGACAAACATAACAATTGTGTTGCTTGGTTTTTAGCTGAAAATTCAGCAGTTACTACTGTTTACCATAATAATCAAGTTGTTTTCTTAAGCAGTAAAAATGTAGAATTTTCAGCTTTATGTAAATATCGGTTTTGAAAATAAAACATAAATGCAGAATAAAGCGGTAGTATAATCAAATTCAAAATAAAATGTAATTCACATTAATGGAAAAGAAATAAAATCATAATTAATTACATAATATTGAAAAAACTATTCGAAATTTATTAAGTCTTCTACATCATCTTTTTTAATGAATGCCAAAATTGCCGTCTGTTTTGAGACTGAGGGGACACAGTTGCGAAATTATACCTTGTTTCTTTTGGGTAGGGACATCTCTACAATTATCGCTTAGTTTACTAGTAATTTCTGGTTTAAAATTTTCTTTAAGAAAATTATGTTCTTTAAAATTTTCGTCGTTAATATTATTTTTATAAAAAGTAATCTGCTGCTTCGTCTGAACTGTACCACAGATATATCTATTATATCTGTGGGAATCTATATATCAAAGGAATATGGGTATATCTATATATCAAAGGAAAGGTCTATCCGTTTTACAAATTACGTTCATTTTTTTCCCCTTTGAATTTTCTACAGCCTTAATAAATTTGTTATTGCCTTATTGTCGTCGCAGCAAGAGTGTATCTATAAAATTATACATTCTGCTGTACGCTCTACTTAGAGGTTTCAGACATTATAATGTGAAGTTCCTCTAAGCGTGTATCCAATTTAACATCTGGATGTTGATTTTATTTCTTAGTCTTGATAAAGACTGGGAGTTTAAGGTAGGATATGAGCCATCGTCGAAATAAAACAAAGTTTGATGAACACAAGAAAGACTACCTACAGAGTCTGAATGTTTGCGTAAGCAAAAGTGGATCAGAGCCCACCGGTGCCCTCCTAGAGCATACGTGCTCTAGGTAGGGCTGTGGTCTATCGACTGATGCCAAGATCCGAAGAATCCCATATTTAAAGACAATTTAATATTTATATGAGATTTTCAGATCTCTTGGCCAACGAAAATAGAAGAAATGTGCAAAAGGCGGGGCTATGCGCGCCAAGGTGCGTGTTAGTTTGTCACAAAAGGCACCAGGGCGACAATATTTCCTTTATTTGTGATCTTCATACACTGTTCCACACCGTGATGACCTGAATCCGCACTCATGAAGGTGTGGCGTGTCTCAAAATATTTTAGGGTAATTTGAGAGGTGGCAATCATTTTTGTATTAACCATTGGGATAAACATGGTAAATAAGCACCAATTTTTATTTTTGGGTTGAGCAATTGTCTGTCTAATAATACTTTAACGGTGTCTCTTCAACTAAAGCTTTACAATATGCAGATGCAAGTTCCTCGGTCTTTCTTCCAGCCACTCCTTCATGCCACAAGACCGATATGTTTTTTTAACGCTTTTACTCTTCTTGTCAGCCATTGATGCAAAGGTTAGATGAAAAGTCACAAGTCGTCTTGTAAAAAATCTCTTCTGGCTTCCGGGAATCCTTGGTAGCATTATAACTTTCTGTAAGTCTACACTCCTTAATATTTCAGTTTCCACTTTTTGCTGTGCTACATCGTGTTTGTAGTCAACTCTTCCTCTTTTAGCCTTTTCAGAGTGGTGTAGCCATTTTATGCAAGATGTACACGAGGCTTGAAACTTAATTGCTTGCAGACTCAAAAGATAAGAGACTTAGTTTAGAACCAGTTGTTTGATTAATATTTGTTCCGTGTATTTTTTCATCTTCATTAGAACCTTCTACAATTTCAACAACATTTTCACCTGTTATGGCTATTGCCTCATTATGAGATTTTACATGCTGAATGTGCAATATACAGTAGTCGCACTCCTCATTTCCTAATTTTGTAAAGCTAATGTACATGTCGGACATCACTTTCCGGTAGGTGTAATAGCTAACTTTATTTTCCGAATATTTTTGAAGGTAATCAGCATGCATACTTCGAATTGTGATATCGTTACATAGATACATACGATTAGGAGCATGTTCTCTTCGGTAGTGACTTATACATGGATGAAATAACGAGTAAATCAATATCTTCTCCAACTATAAACGTATTTGATGTTGGATTTGAATTACTTGTTATTATACCAGTTTCAACGATCAAACAATCTGCATCATCTTGCGCGACTTTTGTGCTGTAATTGTTTTTATTAAACTCTTTACAAAGGAACTCTATCAGTCGTATTTTATTGTTGTCGATATTTAAAAATTTATCTTGAGCTTGGTTGATCACTGTATTATAATTGAATCGTATCTCCAAACCTAAATTTTGTTTTTCTATTTTGTCTGCGCAATCTTTCAGTTGACTTAGTGCACATATTTGTGCACTAATCGGTATAATGTGCACTAATATAAAAAAGGCGGTAAAATCGCGTTTTTTGGACTTTTATAGCGCTCAGCGGCTTCAAACATATAAAAAGTATTTCTGAGACAACTTTTATTCGAAAGTACTTGTATTAAGGCGTCTTTTGTGAAAATTAAAAAAAAAAATTTTGGGTGAGGGTGTTTTTGAGATATGAATTTTTCAAAAAAAGCTCTTTGTTTCGCATTTTGTGGCTTTACATGACATCATATGGCAATTCTGACACCGGGATCGTGTTCAGCGAGAAATTTTACATTGGAAAACATATAGTGGATATTTGTTTAAGCATATTTATCTCGCTATACTCAAAAAAATCGGCGAAACATGAAAAAAAATTGATAAAAAAAACGTGAAACTTCAATAGCGCACCTCGGCCGCCATTTTGAATATTAAGGTCTGAAAATTTGACAATCATGTTTTTTTGTCTACTACAACATGTGTGTAAAATTTCAGCCAAATCGGAGAGGGTAACCCCACCGACTTGTGTCGATTATTGCTGGAATTACCCGTATGCGTTTAATATTTCACTTATTGATGATTTTGTATTCCATCTTACTTTGTGTAATAAAAACCCACCATCTATGACAAAAAGAATTATTCTGAGACGCTGTGAAATCTGTCATTTTATTAAGATTTGAATAAAACAATGATTTTTGAGTTTTTCGAAATTGTATTATTCGAATTTATTTGGAATGTGTCATATTTGTACTTGTTATGACCCCACATAGCTTTCCTTTTTAAGAGAAAAATAAGGTTTTGAATCTTAGCAAAGGTTCTAAAATAAAACCTTAACCAAAATACTAGCAAACATGTAAAAGTACACATGCTGATAAAAAGTGAATAGAAAAATTGGGAAATGATGTTTTAAAACTTTTGATTTACGATATGTTCAATTTATAAGATATTCGTCAAAATGAAAATGTAAACTCGAAAATATATCTATAACAGGAGAAACATACATATATGATTTAATTGTATGTTACAATAGTTAAAAAAAATAAACGATTTTGTCTTATTTTGCTGTTTAAGGAGCAACAAATTAATTTAAAACATTTTACAATACATTATTTTGAAGGTTTTCTATCTTAACAACGATTTTCTAAAGAACGCCGAAATTTTTGCATAAAATGTATGTTTTCTTACTATAAGTGTGTATTATATAAAGGGAAAAACTTGTCAAATACCTGGCTATTGCGAAGTCCCGGACACGGAAAATTTTGCTTATTTCCTTGGATTAATCACCTGTATTAACAGCGCGTTAGAGCACACCGAAACACACAAATACCGGATTTTTCACCAAGCTTAGCATTAGTAATACACGCGCTCTAGAGTGGAGTTAAGCAGTGATGTTCCGTGGAGCTTATCCAATATCGGGAGATGCCTTCGGCAAAATTCGTTAGATTTCGGTAGATCATATGCAATGACGTATGTATCATGGCAATGACGTTAATGACTTAAATTATATATATATATATATATATATATATATATATATATATATATATATATATATATATATCTATATTATAATACAGTGCGTCCAATTAAGGTTTGGCCAACGACTTTTGTCAAAAAATATGAACATAAAATTCATATTTTTTATAAACTGCCTATATTACTAAAAAAATTAATATCTGATGATTGTATTCGGTTTTAGATCATTCAGAAGTTTTTAGAAAGAATAACTTTTTTCCATAAAACTAAAAATAGTAAAGTTTCGCATTAAGGTGGCGACTTAATTTGAGACTATGGGAAACTTTTTCATTTTTAATTTTATGAAAAAAAAAAGTTATTATTAGGTTTTAGATCATTTAGAACTTTTTTTCATAAAACTATAATAATAAAAAAAGTTATTCTTTATATAAAGATGGATAAGTTGGTTCTTTATCATTGAAAATAATAAACAACTATATTTGGAACAATACATATATTACAGAATAAATTTCATGGTTATATAAATATAATTCTGTTACATATAGTACCTAATACCAAGTATTAGGTTACACTGAAAAGTTTTTTGATGGTTAACAGAAATAAAAAGATAAATTGTATTATCTGAATTTATTTTCAAGTCATTGTGATATTTGTTTTAAAATTAGGTAGATCCAAGAGGCAGTTCAGTAGATAAGAATAAAATTCGGTAGATATACCGAAAAATCGGTATAAACTTCTTTGTAACATTCTTGTGGCTTATTTCCCAACAAAATATTAATTAAATTAAGATGCCACAAGAAAATAGCTTCAGAACAGTATTGAAATACTAAAGCTAAACATTTTTTGCATTTGTAGAACATTTCGTTGCATTTATTTTATCCTTTATAGTTTTATGTATTAAATATTTTTTTTGCGCCAATTGTTTTATACTGTCTGTATATGTTCTTTTTGGTGTCTTTCCTTTTAATATTTTGTTAATATTTGAACACCAAGTAAAAATATGAAAAGAACATAAAAATTCAGCAAACAATTGCAACATATTGTGATTCGTACAATTAAAGACATAACAAAATTCCAATTGAGTTGTTAATTGATATACTAAATTAAATTTAATATGTTTAATTGTACAAATCTGAGGTATTATTACCATTAAAATCTGTATTGATTTAATGACTAACTGATTATATGACGAGTTTGGATATAATAATGCATTGCAGCATTATGCTGTTGCATCAATAAACCTAGATTCTGCTATACTCAGATCTTCTTTTTTTCCAACTAGGTCTGCCCTGCATATTTTACATCTTTTGATTTTTTTTAATAATTTTTTTGCTACATATCCAGCTATATATGTTAACTTACCCTTTTCAATGTCATTTAAATTTGGAAAATTGTTTATTTGATTTAGAATTATTACATTTTTAGCATCACTAACTGGTTCACGAGTTTTTGTTAAAAAAGCTTTTAAATTTGACAATGAAGTTGAACCATCATTTTCACAATTTGCAGATGGCGAATGTGATGCTTCATAATTATTTATTATCAATGATTTAAAAGAATTTACAAACAGAGACTAGCAAGATGGATCTTATTTAATTCTATGCTAAAATTAACCTAATCACAAATATTTTAGAGCTTTGATAGTGCGAATCTAGTTCTTTACATAAGGAGGTTGACGATTACTATTTACAAATTTGAATGTTTCAAATACTTTTATTGCTTCTATCCAAAAATGTTCATGTTCCAATCTATTAGTAACGGCTACTCTTAGTCGTTTTCCCCCTTCCGGTAACACTTTTACTTCATTCACACTGTCAAAAACTTTGTCCATAAATAAAATAAACTCTGCAGTGTGAAGAGCTTCGTTTGACATATCAGAACGTAAAATAGACAAGTACAAAATTAACACGTTTTTACAGAGTATAACAAGAATGAATGTTTTATTATTGTTTATAAAAAGAATGTTGCAAACACCATTTATTAACCAGTGGTCTTATAATAAAAAAATAATTCTAATGCACTAACCTATAGTGTTCTAAAAATATTTTCTTTTTAATACAATATTGAAAATGCATAAAATGTGCAAAACAAATAAAAATTGATATTTTCAAAAACAATTGTTAAATACGATTATTGTTTGCTTCCTGAAAAATTTTAAAATTGACACTTACACAGGGAGTTATTCAAATAATCTTTTAAAAATAATTCAGACCTATATGTTACTGGAAATATAACATTGGAGGATATATTTTATTGTAAATTATCTTTTAATACCTAATTTTTTCGTTACGTTACTTGCTTTGACTAGTAGTATACTTACTGTGTGTTGCTAACATCTTCATTGCTGCAGCAACTCTTCCACTAAATATTTGTGCTGCGAATGAAACTTATGTTTTTTTAAATTTTTTACATGCGCTTCAGTGACTTTATTACACATTTTGTAATCATTATCAGGATCCTCCATTGTATATAATTTTGTGATATGATCCCTACTGGCTATTTGGTGACCATATCTCCATCAGAAAGAAACATTGTACTTAAAAAAGTTGTTTCTTATACATTTCAACATATGTGGAGGATCAAAAATAGGTACCACCTCTTGTTCATTTATTTCGAATCCAAATGATTTCTTATCTTTTTTGTCTGCAAGATATTTTTGTTCTGTCTGTCTATATAGCTCTTTAATAGCAGCACAATTCGGTCCTCCTTGATCACATACAGTTGCCACCACTTTCAAATTAATTTCTTGGGCTTTTGAAATTACTTGTTTTAATGAAGATACCATCAAGTCTCTTGTCATGCATCCTTCATTAAAATAGTATGCAAGAGGCTGTTTCCATTTTTTATGAATACCTGATGCCATAAATACAAGTACCTTATCTGCAAATACAGGTTTTCTAAACTCCTGTCCATTATCTTGAAAACCAATCAGCATATCTACATCTTTTTGGTACATAACTGTTGGCTCAATGGCCATTTCATCAAATATTATTGTACAGTATTTATCAATATCCTGCATCTTATCTACACTCCCCTTCAATAAATCAAAAAATGTTTGATTTATTCCAGTGGTAAAGGGTATTCTTCTTAATAACTGGACAAGAGTTCTTCTAGATGGTAATGCAATTACTTTTCGCAG